TTTCTTTCGAAGGTTGGAGCACAAGGTTGAAGTGTTCTACTTAACGCTCCGCAGGCGTCATACCTGCAGCACCCAAGAGAGGTACCTTTGTCGTCGTGACATTGGAGGCTAGTGGATCCATAACTGCACGACAGCACTCAAGTTAGCTGGGATTCTGCACAGAACGTCTTTGTTGCAACCTCCAGGATCTAAGCTAAACTAAATATGGAGTGGTGGAGTGGGTATTGACCTTCTGCACCCTGTTCATCACCCGCAACCACAATCCATTTCAGATCGAAACAGACGCGTGCATCTTTTAATCCATTTGAACCTCTTTTTTGGTCTGTTGGAGTTCGGCACACTGATGTTAGCATAGAGACTCTTTTGCCTCAGTGCCCGTAGTTGGGTTTATTGTCCCGAGCTCGCGTTCACTACAGGTCAGTTGCCACTTTTGTGCCGGGTGATAACTAGTCACACCAGTGGTGTTTAGTTTGGTGGACGAGACCGCTCACCCTTTGAATTTGCAATTGGGTTCAGCATAAGGCATGGACGCATCAGCTTTTCAGCCGCCTTCCGGTCTTGAAATCGAACTGCCCACAGTTTCATATAGAACTTTCCATCCCCCATCTGTCTTCCAGCCTTTGTAGAGCGTCAGTCACTTATGGGGGATAGCACTATGACGTGATACACTGATAACTGAGTTTGGTCTTTGTGCATATCGGCTTTCATACTTACTCTCATCCACGCTCACAGTAACACAACCGCACGGTGTTGACGCTTGGGCTTATAGCTGGTGAAGTGGGTAATCGAATGCAAATTGAGCGAATAGAGATTAGGATCTTTGATAAGTTCTCAGAGTTGGTCACTACCTCCGGAAGCCTTTTGAGTATAGATTTACTCCCGCAAGTAAAAAATGCTTTATTCAGCATTCATATAATATACAGTGGAAGGGTGAGACGGTAGATTTGGGTGTGTGGGAGAGTCGGAGTTGCAAGATAAGACAGTGGGCGTTAGATGGTCCCGAATAAAGTTGAGGAATAGTGATGAACAAAGCTTATCCAAACCGGCCTTGAATTGGGCTACTATTAGAGATAAAACAACATGCTCTGGCAGCTTGTTCCATCGGTTAATGATTCTATAGGGGGAAAATTGCCCTAACGCTTTTAAGTGCCCTGGAATTCTTCAGTTTGAGGCTATGCCCTCTCGCTGTAGAGTTTTCTTCCAGGCTGAAGAATGGCTTGAGTACTTCGATGAGGTCACCCCTGAGGCGTCTACGATGGAGAGAAAAATGTCCCAAGGTCCTTAGCCTTTCTTCATATGGAATGTCCCTCAAGTCCGCAACGGTCTGTGTGAACCTTCGCTGGACATTCCCCAAAAGTTGCTGATCTCTTTTTAGGGCTGGAACCCAGGCTTGCACGGCATACTCAAGGTGTGGCCTTACTATTACCTTGGATAGTGGTATGACAACTTGGGGAGCTCTAGAGTCTGTTGTCCTGCGTAGTTGGTAGATAACCCTCTGTGCTTTGCTTGCTGCAAGAACACATTGGGCAGATGAATTAAATGACTCGTGTATGTTCACGCCCAATTCCCTTATTTCTGTAACACTTTCTGTGGTCTTGGGGTTTGTTTGGTTGGTGGTTCTTGGTGTAAGCGGTCCTCCAGTCTGTAGCTGCTTGCAATGGTGAAATGGTATGTTAAAACAACAACTTATTCCACTCAACAATTCCCTATTAAACTTCGCTTTCACAAACATCATGACCATTTTCCCAGATCTTGTTGTGTGTTATATGAGGCCATTGTTATTGTACCTTGCCTGCCATGATCGTGCAAAACATGCATGTCTCTCGTTGTAATCCGAGAAATATACCATTATTATTATTATTATTAATATTATTATTATTATTATTATTATTAATTTCCTATATTTAGGGGTAGGCCTCAGGTTTCGGACCACTACTAGAGAATATTTAGGTTTGCTTGTACAGTCTCCTGGTAATGGTTGCCGACATATCTTAGCGTCATCGGCAAACAAACAACATGGAAACTTAAGCCTGACGGTCAAATCATTTATTAAACCGACTAATAGTAACGGCCCCAGAACTAAACCCTGAGGTACCCCGCCGCGGGCGTTAGCTGAGCAGGAGCACTCACCCTCCATTCTGACGAAAACTTCATGTGCTTAAGGCACCACTGCTGGTGGCACGTTTAGAGCCCTGAGCTTTGTAAGCAGTAAACGGCAATTTACGAAGGTCCAATCTGGTCCCTGGTGCCGTTCACCGTGCTGATCGTAAGGGAATATGGTCTGGTTGCGATATGGTTCTTTACGGCGAAACACATAGTGATTAGAGTGATATCTATTGTAAATAAATGCCATCGCCTTTACTGCCCCATGGGAGTTAGTATGCTGAATGGTGTTACTCCGAGAAGTACCTTTTTGCCCGTTGATTGCAGTAGTAGACATACGCTTGGTTTCGGGGTGCCGGTAACTGCGTTTCTCGTATAGAATGCAGGAGGGAATGGTGGCTTCCTTGATACCTTTTTCACCGCATTCGCTTCGATTCCTGCAAGTAGCCGCGCGATATGAGCCGCTTAAACAGATAAAGCACGCACCATGCCTCTTGGCTGCTTCCCAACGGTCAGGATCATCCAGTTGCACAAATTTCTCATATGCGGATAGCTCGTGACCCGAACGACACAGCGCATCTGGGTGCTTCACATTCCCCCAAGGTTGCATAGTTGTTTGCCTTTCTAGAGCTTCTCGGCATATCGTAGATTCGTTCCTTGGGGCGGGGTCTATCTTCTTGTCTACCCATGCTGGCGAGTTTTCCGAAGCGATTATTGGCGACATTGGCACGGTTTCGGATGAATTCCGTCAGCTCGATGAAATTCGGTTCCCTCCCTAAACGGCCGATAATCACCTCCTGCTCCATCGATCGTTGTTGTATGTCAGCCGGCAGGCATCGTAATACCTCTTCTAGGGTGTGTAAGACATTAGACCCGGATTTGAAACTCATTTGGGTCAGGGCAATGAAGCGATTTTGCATCTTCATTATCAGTCGCAACAACGATTCGGGTTCGTTTCTCGCTTTACTGGCCTCGGCCAGCAACCCGTCTATGAGCTTCCGTGCCACGTGAAGCGGTTGACCAAACGGTTCCTTAAAGATGTCCGTTGTTCTGCTATACCCGAGTTCGTTTGGTAGCATCACACATTGTTCAATAGCGTTCAGGGCCTTCCCGCGGCAATAATGCCTTAGGTAAAGGAACTTCTGCCCCGGATCGGCGATTCGACACCCGACGAAATTATCAAATTCTCTAATGAGTCTCCAATAGTTGCTGGGGTTCCCGTCGAATGGCGTTAGCTCCACTTTGAGCAGGTCTATCGACGAGTGGCGGTACACTAATTCGATCAGCGGTTGAGCCATTTTCGGCGTCAGTCTAATTGGCCCTAAGCCTCATTAACCTAATCTTTTGCTCTAACTCTACAATCTCATGGAGGTATAAATCAAAAATCCTAACATGGGCATGACAATCCAGTGCAAATGAACTTCCTGCACTAACGGGACTAACTGAACTATAAATGTTGTAATCAGAACCCCCTCCTCCAAATTTCCCAGTGACTTGCTGGGTTAATTCCTATCCTTCCTCCTCGATCCATCTTTGTTTAAACGAAAGTCTCTTGGTACTAGTTAAGTACCATGCATCTCGAATAAATCAACGAGTAACACCGTAGCCGAAATCTGATCCCAAAACGTCAAAAAACGAACGATACAGGAAGGTTCGATGGTACTGCAATAATAAACGGTCTAATAAGCAAATAAAATCCGTACAAACCTCAAAGTGATCTCAAAACAACTTGAAAACAAGATCCAATCGTTACTGTGAGCGCAATTCAACAAATCTGAACGGAAGAAAATGAGTCTGGATAAGAATAGAACGCTCATCGTCACGCTGCACTCGAACGATTCAAATGTGAGCGGTCAGGCCGCGATTAAAACAAATAGGGTAAGAATGACGCAGAAAAAGAAAAAGTCAAATAATGGGAGGAGTAACGTCAAATGTCTATGTATGTATGAGGCGGATGGTGTCAGGTGAATGAAATGTGAAATTCACAAAATGTGGAACCAAGGTGGATTGTCAAGGTTTTACAGGAAGGATTTTTACAGATCGATCAATACACCCAGGACGCCATCGAGGAATGTGTGATGTTGCCAGATGAATTCAAGGTATGGCAGAGCAAGGGATATCTTAAATGAATCATTTTGTCAGCCGCTTCACGTGGCTCGGACGCTCATAGACTGGGTGTTGTCTGAATCCCGTAAAACCAGAAACAAGTCCAGATCGTCAGTAAATTTAGTGATGAAGATGCAAAACTGTTTTTAACCCAAATGAGTTGCGAAGCATATTTCAATGCTCTACACACCTTAGAATCGATAGTCCGATGTCTTCCAGCGAATATCCAAGAGCCATGTGCGGATGAGCGGTGATTATTGGTCGTTTGGGACGAGAATCAAATTTTACCGAATGGACTGAATTCATCAAAACTCGTGCAAACGTCGCCAGCAGCCGTTTTGAACAACTTGTTAGCATGAGTGGGCGAGAGGAAAGACAACTCACCAAAGAGCGACCCCACGACTTTCCAAGAAACCTTAAGATTGCCAACAGTTACGCAACCCTGGGAGAAATTAGTGCACCCAGATGCCTCATTTGTCGTCTGAATCATGAGCTATCAGTATGCGAAAAGTTCGTACAGTTGAATGTGCCAGACCGTCAGGAAGCAGTAAAGAGTCACGGTGCTTGCTCCATCTGCTTAAATGACTTATATTGCGCGGCTGCTTATAGGAATCGCAGTAGAGATGCCATGGAAATCATCATACTCTTTTGCATTCTTTGCAAGAAACACGCTTGCCAGCACCTTGAACCACAGAGTATGCATATTATTGAGCACCGAGTGCGCCTAGGGGCTACAACAGTGGGCGTACTGACACCCAGATGGGTAGTGAAAGCAATGGCGTTGGTCGAAAATGGGTCTTATCACTGAAGGTTTTGCCGTAAAGAATGACATCGCAGCCCGAACATCGTCTCCAGAGATTAGCACGATGAACGGTTCTAAAGTTACGGCCGTATGTCAAACGAGCCTGGCAATGTTTTCAATAGATAGTCGTGAACGCCTGGAGGCAACGGAAGCCTACACCACAACAGACCTGCCGATGCGAGCGGTGGAGTCACTCGGAGAAAAAGCAGCATTCTGGCCGCGCCTGCGGGATTTGCAGTTTGAGGAAGCCGATTCTCCCGAGGTCGACCTGTGAATAGAATGCGACGAGCCAGAGGCTCACTGGGTACTATAACAGAGACTGGGTGTCAGGAAGAACCTTATGCCGCTCTCACTGCTTTGGGGTGGATGTTATTTGAACCACCAAATTCGACCAACAGCAAGCCATTATCAATAAACTTCGCTGCTACCACCAATGGTAATGATACGATGGAACAAATTCTGGCAAGGATGTATGACAGCGAGTTCGGAGACCTGAGCAACGCAAAACGGGGTCCTTCGTAGATAACAACCAGGCATTAGCAATATTCGAAAAGGTTACGCGCAGTCAATCCAACGGGTTTGAGGTGTCATTTCCATGGAGGACAAGATACAATCGTTTGCCGAATAATCAAGGAATGGCCGTAGAAATACTGGAACACTTAAAAATACCACTTAGCCCTGGACGCGAAACTATATCGGCAATACGCCGAAGCAATGCGACGAAACGGGGAACAGGGATATATGGAGAGAGTGAACTGTTGTACCGTTGTTGTGTACCGTACAATGGTCTATTCCTTAACGATAGACTGTTCCAAGGACCAGACTGGACAAATCCATCGATCGACGTGCTTAACCGATTCCGGATAGGAGCACTTGCTGTGGCAGCCGAAACTCAAAAGATCTTCCTCCAAGTTAAGACACCAGAGGATCAACGCGACGCCCTGCGACTATTATGGTGACCTGGAAGCGACTTGCAGTGCCTGGTGGTAGACTATCAGCTGATCGTTCACCCATTCGGAATAGTTTCCTCGCTCTTCTGCGCAAATTATCCATTCCGGTGGACAGCTTCACAGTACCAAAACCATTTCCCTGCCTTGGTGTCAGCCAGTGTTGGGAATAACTTTTACATCAACGACTTCCCAACATCATTCAATACTGCAAAAGCGGCTTCTCAACACGCGATGCAGCTAAAACCTTACTTAAAAAGGGAGGTTTTCGTCTAACCAGTGGTTTTCCAATGCGCGTGTAGTCTTAGACAGCGTTCCAGAAGACGACAGATCGAACGATGCTCTCAACCTGGCCACACGGCAACTTCCTATTGAGCCAACCTTGCGCGGTACTTCGGAGCGCGGAGTCAGACCAGATGATCTTTCAACTTTGGCTGCCCGAGAGGCACCCCATCCGGCGAAGACTGTTGTCGTCGGTCTCTAGCATACACGATCAGCTGCAATTTGTCGCACCGTGCCTGTTACCGGGGAACATTTTCCTACAACAACTTTGTTAGAAGAGGGTGGGGTGGGATCAACCTTGGGCGAGAAGGACTGTGAAAATTGGGAATAATAGTTAACAAGCCTAGCTGGACTAGGCGAGATATGGTTCCCGCACCGACTCAGCCGAGTCAGTCAAGCGACGAAGGTCGAGCTGCACTTATTTTCCGACGCGTCCGAAACGGGATAATGGGCAGTAGCCTACTTGAGTTGCTGCCTATGAACGGTGAGCGCAAAACAGAATTACTGTTCATCAACGCACGGATTACCCCATTAAATTGCGTATCGATATCCCAAAACCATATACCTACGAACACGCGGGGAGTGGCAATTCTGATCTATGAATCTATGGTCCACAAAGCTGTTGCCATCGTGTAGGGCATATTGGAAGAAGAATGGCAGAGTTACCTTCAATCTTCAAGAATAAGCGATGCAATTAGATGTGCAAATGTATTCAGGGAGGTTGATGTAGAGGCCCCAAGAAAACGTGGGTTTTCCACCCAAGCAGAAACTAGAAATAGAGAAACGACAGGAGGGGCTGACGCTAATGTATATAAATACTAGCAGCATCAGAAACAAGTGGGCTGAGGTTCTGATAGCAGCAGATACCCATAAGGCCGCCGCGGTAGCCATAACAGAAACCTGGCTCTCAGAGAGTGATCCTTACCCTAGTATAGTTCAATATAAGTATGTTACCCTCAGAACGCAAAAGGGTATCTCCGTACTAGAAGGAGGAGTAGCTCTGCTACTAAAACTCTGCTTGTGCGCAGTACAATCGAATACTAAGTTATCCACTCTCAGTGTTTAGCTAGTTGCACTGGACCTTACTATATATATGACAATATCTGTTGTCTGCGTATATAGGGGTCCTAGTGCCGCACAACCGGGAGATTAGGAAACCATACAGGCACTTGACAACCAAGCTGAAAATTTGAACAGATTGATTTTTACAGGCGACTTCAACCTTGAGTATGTTGACTGAGGGCTCGAGAGGTGTCCTCGAGGTTCAAGTGAAAGCTACCCTCAGTGGATTCAACCCCGGGCCGTTTATGAGCACGTGAAGGAGAACATTAGGTATCGGAAGGGTCAGCTGCTGGACCTGATCATCACAGCGAAGGAGGAAGAGGGGCAAGCTCTAGAGTATCTCCCTCCTATCGTTAAAAGTAATCACATTGTCATCAAGATGACACTTCAGTTGAAACTACCCAAAGACCGTGACGGGATGGATAGGAACTTAAAGAGGATGGACGTGAATCTACTCCGAGCTTAGGTGATCAGCTGCGTTGGTGCAGTTCGTAGCAACACGCTAACTTGGAGGAAGGCTGGAGTGTAATGAGAAACCACCAGGTGAACCTCCAAGATGAGCTTGCCTCTTTGTCCCACACATGGTCAAGGAAAAAACCACCATAGTGGCACACTGTTGTAGGTAGGGCGATAAAACGCAGAAATCGAAGCTGTAAAGCTTTCCGAGCTTCGGGTTCCCAGATGGCTTGAAGACGGTACGCGAGACATCGTAATGAAGTAGTCTCGTTCATTAGAAAGGGTAAATGCGACTACGAGTTGAAACTTAAAAAGCCACGCCAAGGAGGAGCCAAAGAGGTACTACAACTACAGTCAAGCCAAAGGCTCTAGTAAAAAGTGATGGGATCTGTACAGATGAAAGGTTGAACCGTCATCAATGACCAGGAAATGGTAGATGCCTTCTGTTCCTACCTAAGTGGTGTGCGCAGAGTAGATTGTGGAGACTTGGGACTGCCGGATCTTGCCTCCCCAGCAGAGGAGATAGAGCATACTTATGTGTTATTAGAAACAGCAGTAATCGGATATTGGCTAAGATGAACGTAAGTAAGTCTCCGCGGCCCGATGGGATCTACCCGGCAACCGTGAAGCCGAAAGCGGATATAGTAGCGGGACCATTGAGGGACTTATACAAGCCAGCCTAGATCGGGGGAAGCTACCGAGGCAATGAAAAACAGCTTCAGTTGTTGCCGTTCACAACGGAGGGGCCCAATCACAGATTAAGAACTACAGGCCGATGAGCCTAAGGAGTATGTTGTGCAAGTGCCTAGAAGGTATAGTGAGGATGCACATTGCACTTAGTGACCAAGAGCATAGGTTTACCAAGGGTAGATGTTGCTTATCCAACCTGCTGTGCCTTTTAGATGAGGTAACCTCGCGGTAGTGGTGTGGCATTCCAACCTTCGAGTTTTCTGAAAACGAATGATGTTTAAAAGCTTTTAGAAAAAGTGACACTGAATTTAGCTGAAACTGAATAGATTTTGTTTTTGGCCAAATTTGAGTCATTTTTTTACAATTACATTTGTTTCAATTAGCCTTAATTGAATTTTTCCGGAAGTTGTAAATACCGCTACACAATGGCGACGATCACTTCCACGCCCATACCAACCGTGGCGCACGTTGACGTTAAGATTGTTCCTGAAAGAATGGGAAAAATTGCACCCTTCACATTCTTCTACTTTTATGCATCAATGATTGTCGGACAGCTTATATGAGGTGAAACGATTGGTCGAAAACTGACGTTCTCTTAATGCTTTTTCATACTATTTCATGAAATACTACTGTGTACATCATCAAAGATGAGGCTCAACTGCAACCAGGTAATTGTGGCCCTATTTTGTAATGCAGTTAAACCGTTTTAGGAGGGAAGATATTGCTTGTCCGGCATTCGTTGGTCGGGAGGGAGTACCGACTGATAAAGTCTTGTCTGGTGCAGGATCCTGACTTCCAGTTGGCTTGGGGGGTTTGTATATAGGTAATCGTCGACCATCTGGAAAACAAGAAGAGAAAGTGTATAGTTTAACGGACACCTTTAGAAATACTCGCCAGCTAAGGGATTTCGTCACACAAAGGTTCAAGAAACCCTTAACTACGGAGGAAATTAGATCCATACGTCGAAGAAGATCTCAGCCGGATTCACGTGGCGATGCGGTGAAAGTTCGAAATGTGCTGAAGAATTAGGGAAGGGTTAGGATAGGGCTGAAAGAAGGGGTCGTTTTTCACAAATATTTTGTTCCTAATATTATACTGCACCACGTCGACAGGTTTAACAATGTTTTGTTAGCGGAAGCTACGCACCACCTAAACTGTGGCGGGTCCGTACTTTGCCTTGTTAAGCTTGGAGACGACACTGGTTTCGGTAGAAGTTTCTTCCACGCTGTCTTGCCAAATGAGAGCGGTGACAGCTATAGGTCTGCAGTGATGTCGACGAGAGTAATGTGCCCAGCCTTTGCACAGTGCACGTCAATTGATCGTAGCTCGACTCAATGCGAAGCTTTTTCAGAACATTTTCCTTCCTCTAGTGTAGTATTTTGTCGTTTCCATCTGGTTTAGGATATGAAAAACGTTTAACCCACTATGCGGTATGCCAAAGTTTGAAAGCAGCGTATCTTTCAATGGATGCGGAACATGGTATACTATGATATTGAAGTATCGTTTCATAGATTCCTAGCCACCGTAGAACGTCGTAGCACACAATCAGGTGGTTATTTACACCGAACGTGGTTACCATACCGGAAGCAGAGGTCTGAGTGTGCCGTGATGATTAGGTTGACCTTAGGAGGCAAAAACGAATTCAAAGAACAGAAGGAGAATAATTAAAGTGAAAGATTGATAAGTTCAGGAGAAGAGCTGCAATCAAGCCAAAGCAGAGCACATTGATATCAAAATGACGACAAATGCCCTATAATCAAACGCTTTCAAAGATTGATACAGACGGAATGTCTTCGGTAAACAAGTAACAATGGGCTTCGGGGCTTCACTGGTAACG